GAAACCTTGACTATTTCTTGGTTCATTTCTCGGTATGATGATTGATACTGTTTGCTTTCGTCCTTGTGTTCCTCACGATACTTTTTGCATTTCTTCAGTATGTTTTCTTTATTTTGTTCATAATGTTGTTTTTTCTTATTCTTGATTGTGTCTGACTGAATGCAATTCCCGATATTCTTTTTGCTTTTGACTTATGACAGTCTTGTTTGTATCCGCCTTGTTCTTGATGGGATTTGTGTGTTTAGAGTAGCGTTGAGTAATTCTTTGTAGTGTCTTTCTCGTTGTGTTGCTTCTATGGAATTAGCAACACACTCCGTATTAATAAGTATCATTTCCCAATTCTCCCAACTTCCATTGTTTCTGATGAATTCATACACAGGCGTGTTATGATGTTTATCAGTTGGATGAAGACAAGAAAACTTATGCTGACATCGTCGCTTGACAAAATTTAATGTGCTTCCGACATAGCAATCTTTGATATTTAAATCTTTACAAACAATTTTATAAAAATGAGTATTAGAATAGTCCATAACCTTTTTTGGCATTATATAAGATTATATAAGATTTATTCTTTAAACATTATTTATTAGATATTCTTAAATATTGTGAAAAGCGTTTCATAAACATTTTATCTGGGTTCTTTTCTAAAAGGTTAATATATAAAAAACTATGCGGTTCATCAGTGGCAGTTTCATATATTTTATAAATTAATTTCTTGCTTTCGTGTAAATTATCGCTTCTAACAATTGCCGATAATTCATCTTGTAATATTTATATCTCTTTGTAGTTTCTAACTTTATAAAAAACAAATGACTTATATTTACTCTAATAATTGGTGGCACAGTTGATGATTTTTGAAGACTGGCAAGCGTTGATATTCCACTATGACGTCCCCTACAGAATAAAGAATTTAACAATTTGTTATTTCTTGTTATTGCTGGATTATCAGATACATCATCCAAAATTACCAATATATTAAATAATTTCTTTGTTCCTTGTTTTTTTTGGTATTCAATTATTTTATTCTGAGTTTCTATAACTGTTTCTAAATCTTCAACATTGAACTCATCCCACCAACACGGTTCTTTATCAGTATCTACTTTCAAACCTTCTTTAATGTATTTTTTAACAGGCAACCAAATACTATCCAAATTTACTGATGGGGACCAGATAAAAATTCTTTCAAATGCACCTCTATAAATATCAAGTATCATTGATACAAGTAGCGTCGATTTTCCAGAGCCTGACGGGCCCACAATCATAGCTCTCATCGGCAATTTAGGGACGACCTCGTGCTTGCTTTGCTTAAAGTCATATTTGATTTCATCAATTGGTTTTACATCAGGCATAATAAAATAATATTAAAGATATTTAGAAAATATTTTAATATTATTTATTGTATGAAAGCATTGCTATGATATGAATGGTGTCCATCGTAGTAGAACAGGCTCTTTCATCAACTTCAATCAATAAGCATTGAAGATAATTAGTTTTGTGTCTTGCTCGCGTGTGCAATGAAAACCCCAAGTGCTGTGCCCCACCAATATTCTAGTATGCATGAAATAATAAGATTAAATAGAATAATTTATCTTATTATTTATATGGATAGAAGTTATTCAGATTATATTGATATAATAGATGAAGTAGAGAATGTAGAACAAGTAATAATAACTGACAACAGATGTAAGAAAGTATGCTTTTATACGTTAGAATTAATAAAATTAGGAATACAATATCAAAAATAAAAATGTAAATATTAATATAAATGGGAAAAAACAAAAACAAAAAGAATAAAACAGATACTACAGTTTCTTCAACAGATGAAGACAAAGAAGAAGAAATTGTTAAAGAAACATCAGTTATTGAGTTTGAGTGTCCTATGTGTAGAAAGATGTTAGCAATGAAGAACGAATTAGAAATTCAAAAGAAAGGAAATTGTAAATGTTCGTGTATTCCGACAAATTTCAAATTGAGTAAAAACGATAAGAAAATGAATATTGATAAAACTAAAGACAGTATCAACTTAGAAACTGATGTCCATAATATAACTTTTAAATGGGGAAGGCATGCATCACCATCCGATAATGGTGATAACGAAGCACAGGAAACTATTAAACAAATGATGAAAATCTAGTATTTAAAGAGTAGATTTTACATTAAATCAATTTTATAAATAAACAATTAAATAAATAAATATCTAATTATTTGTATAATCATAATGCCAACTATGAATAGAGAAGACCATAGAGTTATAACTTTTGACGATGAAGAAATTAAAGACCTATTCAATGGTGATGAAAACTTTGCTAAACAATTGAGCGAAGAATATTTTTATTGGTTTGATGCTAAATTCAATGATAAATATTTTATGAAAGGTATAACTAAACCGGATAAATTTGATAAAATATTGAGTTTTTTTTGAAATTACAGGTGACGAGGAAGGTTTAATAAAAATGAACAATAAAATTGGTGAAAGACTGTTAGAATATAATTTATTTACATATATAACATTAGATTATTCAGGTAAACTGTATAATAAAACGCATAAATAAATATCTAAAAAAATAATTATATAAATAAATATATATAGAAATGTCTGAAGTTGAGAATGATGCTATTGCTGAACTATCAAAGAAAATAATGACAGTTAGTAAAAATGTTAAACTGTTGTACGAGATGATAAAAACTATTGACCAGAAACTTGATGCAAAGGCAAACGAACCAACAAATAACAATGAAGAGAAGGAAAAGATTGATAAGATCTTTGAAAAGAAAGGGATAGGCAGACCCAGCGGTGATTATGACACGAAGCATAAAAAATATTGTGATATGTTAAATAAGGGACAAATCAAAAGTCCAAAAGAACAAACATTAGAATACTATAAGATTATTAAGGAAGATGATAAATATGTATCCGTCTAAAACATTATCTAAATCATTCTAATAAACAATATGAATTTATTAGAATTATTTAGTGGAACTGGAAGTGTAGGAACCATAGCAAAGTCATTAGGTGTTAATGTCATCTCATTAGACTTGAAAAATGCTGATATTAATTGTGATATTTTGACGAGTTTGGTGGATTAAGGAATTTGAGTTTGGGATTATGGTTGAAAATTGAGTGCATATGCTGATGCTGGTTGAGCATATGCTGATGCTGTGTGTGAGCATATGTTGATGCTGTTTTTAGCATAATGCTATGCGGTGTCAGGGCATAATGCTATGCGGTGTCAGGGCATAATGCTATGCGGTGTCAGGGCATAATGCTATGCGGTGTCAGGGCATAATGCTATGCGGTGTCAGGGCATAATGCTATGTGGTGTCAGGGCATATATATGCCTTTTGTAGCATATTGCTCTCAAATTAGCCCATAAACCTTACAATAAAAAACATTGTAAGATTTATGTTTTGAAATTATGGGGATTTTATATTTTGGGATTTTGGAAAAATATATTTTGGGAATTTGGGATTTTGGAAAAATATATTTTTGGAATTTGGAAAAATATATTTTGGGATTTTGGGAATTTGGAAAAATATATTTTGGGATTTTGGAAAAATATATTTTGGGATTTTGGGAATTTGGGATTTTTAAGATGGTCTGGTTTTAAAGACATGCCACCTATCAATAGTAGCATGGAGATGACTGACAAAATGCAAAAATGTAGGCGATGTGAAAACACTTATCCACCTGACCTATTTAATGTTAGAGTGCATATTTGCGATTACTGCCGAGAACAAAGAAAAATTGATAGGAAGGAAAAGAAAAAGGAATATAGTAAAGTGCGTAATCAGATTGAAATAGAATGTGACATTTGCCAGTGTAAAGTGAGGAAATCTGCAATATCCAAGCATTTGAAAACGTTGAAGCATATTGAGAATGAGAATAAAGTAAAAACAACAGTTGAGGAAGAAAAACCTAATGAAATTGAAAATTCAGAACCTCCAGTAGCACCAGAGGTCAAAAAGGAAATGGAGGAAGTGAAGGACAAAGTTTTTCAAATTGTAGGTGAATTACCCTTTCTGGAAAATTATTTCATTTCAGCATATTCCGTGAGGAATTCTGCAATTATTCAATTTATGAAATAATATGATTTAAATTTTAACCATAGACTTTACAATAAGAATATTGTAAAATTTATGATTTATATTTCTTCGGAAAAATGATAATTTTGTAAAATAATATGTTTGAAAAGTTAGAAACATATTTGCAAAATTTATGTATCAAATCTTGAGTTGAGGTTCTGTTATGAATTGATGAAAACATATTACGTGAATTGGTCGGTTGAGGGGATTTTATCTAACTGGGGCATGCCCTTTGGTAGGTGTTAGAGGGTTGGCCTAAGTCATCGTGCTTAAGACCAACAGAATCCAGAGATGTCCATCAGCGTTTTGGAGAGGATTGGCTGCTGATCTTGCGATCGATGCGATAGGTAGGGAATGACTTTCCGAGTCCGGGTGTTGGCAATGAACTGTTGGGGGATTCCCGAATAAAGGAACACACGAGGATGGCTTATGGGGATCAATCTCACATTCCCTGCTGAGAACCGGCAAAATCAGTCATCGTGCTTAAGCACACCAACTGAGGTTCCGCGCTATCTCAGGACAGGACGTCAAATCTGAGTTGCATGGTCAACCACCACAATTAAAGTTCATCCCCTTCTAAAGCCATGAAAAGCGAAGCAAAGGGCAAAAGAGAGAGACGGAGAAAGAGAGACAGCGATAGAGAAGGAGAGCCAGCACAAGAAAAAAACAGTAGCAACAATTTCCCCAAAGTAAGTGCTGAATGAAGTCCTGAATGCTGACCCACCCTCCCTGGTGCAAGCGCAGTGCGTCGGGCCCAAACGCAGCAATTACAGCTGAAGTAGCCGTCACGTAGCCTCTCAAACAACTTGCGTCGTTTCGGCGCCCGGCAGGCTTACATTGCGCAGTCCCATTGCAACCTCTGTGTGTGCGTGTATGTGCGTTGCTCTGATCACTGTCCCGACTGCACCCAGTTGCGCCTTTGGTGCTGCGCTTGGCACGCACGAAGACGCGCTGGTACGAGACGATAAACCTTGGCAACAAGAATGCCAGTAGGATGATGATTGGCTGCCAGCTTACTTACTTACTTTCTGCTTGGTTGCTGCTAACCCTGTAAAAAACAAGGACCCTGTTTATGGGTTCAATGGAAAAGCGCCTTGCTATTTCTTTCCGGTGCTTTGCATTGGACATGTTTTTGAGCGAACTACGTGTCAAGTGGGTTTAGTTACTGAGAACCAACAGCAGTTTGAGTGTTGACAAAGCCCTTGATGCATGGGTCATGTTTAGGCACCAGCGGTCAAAGATGCTGATCCGCTTGATGACCCAGGGCCATGCGAGCAATGACGGGGCCGCAACCACAGTTGCACAATGCATTGTGAGCTCTCTAGACATCTCCATGCCTGTAGCACATTACTGAAGCAAGACTTGGTTGCCATGGGTTGGATCGGCAAAATATTCAACCTTTTGGTAAGCCAAAAAGCCAACCTAAACACTAGTGCCAGAAAACAGCAGCTAAGGAACAACCTGTGGTCCACAGTTTGCCCGTGGCACTCTATCTCCATTTTTTGTTATGGAGAAAAACTGTAATATGGCCATGGGTCAAAATCCCGTACCCCCACTGAACATCCCAATCCCAACTAACATAGACTAAAATGGGTGGTGCACCTAGCCCAAAATTGTACCATTGGTTTTTGACCCACAGCCATATGAAGCTTGCCAATTCCAGTCATGGCTCGTCCTCGCCGGACGGCTCTCCAGCAGCTTGTCTGCCGCTGCAGTGCCAGCTCGCGTGTGGCTTCCGAAGGGGTCCTGTCGCTCAGAGCCCCTCGAGTGGCTCTATGACTTGGTGCGAGAGATGCGGGGAATGAGAAAAACAGTGAATGACCCCAAGAAAAAACCCTCCAACTGGTGGCTTCCTTTATTGTAGGGGAATCCCCAAAATGGGTCATTCCCAATAGCCGGATTTGGTCGTTCCCTACTAACCACCAGCAGGATGACGGTCAAACGATTTCTAGGGAGAAGAGCCTGCGACTTTGGCACGGAGACCATGATTCCATGCTGGGCTGTGCTGATCAATGTAAAAACGATACTCGTGTTGCGCCTAAACCCCTTAACTGGGATTTTGCGGTTGCATGATTACTTTGCCTACTCCTACTATACACCGGGCAGGTTTGTTTATGCGGGCAACACGGGATTGGCTTGGGTTGCGAACAATCACGTCAAGTGAAACAATAGGACCTGGACGGATCTCCGGTCGAAGTGGCCAACCCTGCCGCACAAGTCAATCCCTTCCAGAGGCGCCACAACAAATCCAACAGGTCCAGATGCGATCTCATCCCTCCCAACGGCCAGGACTTGATTGCTGTTGACCCCCCTGCAAAAAGTTTTTAACTTTTGAGGGGTTTGGTGGAAAACAGTTTTGTCTAAAGATCCAACCCAATAGCAGTCAAGAGGATGTGCTAGTGGTTTTGGTTCCTGGAGGCCCGCGGAAAAGGGCCGCGATCTTTAGGCCAAGGTGCGCCACAGCGGATGCACTTGATGCTGTTCGGGTCTGCGTTCATGCCCACCTGCGTGGTCTCCTGACATGTGGTGTGCCACCAGCGACCATCACACAAGGCCTTTTGGAGGGCCCCGCTCAAAACGGATCGGTACTAAAATGGCTGCAATCCTAAAACCATGTAAAGAACTAACAAGGCGGCTGCGCCTACTTGTGGTTGGGATTGTCTCTTACTGATCTTCATCTACCGGAGTTTTGATTGTTTCAGCTCACTTGGTCGTTGGATTGCGGGGGGTGCGCCAGCTTCTAGTCTTGCTTCACTGCAGTCATTCGTACACACCATCACAGGGAAGCCACGGCATGATGCGTATTCGCATGAACGCAATGAGGCCTCAAAGGGATTGAGCCCCGCAGCAGCACAAAGCTGGCATTGCAGCATGGCCAACTCGAAAGCATGCTCCAGAAGGCTCAGAAGCAAAGTGAGGTGTTGGGACAGCTACAACAGAGCAATGAAGCTTCCTGACCTGGCTTTTGTGATTGCAGGCAAGGCAACCATTCCTCCCATGCCACTGCGATTGAGTCAGTTCTTTAAACCAAAGTTGTCTTCTTGATCTTTCTGCGCCCTTCGTGCGCCATTGCTGATTGTCTTTCATATCTGCCCAGAACGAAACAACAGCCTTCGGGTGGTCGACCCGTGCTCCTAAGGTGTACTTCAACTTGAAGGAACGTGTTCCAGCACTCAGGCCGCCCCCCCCAATCCAGCGAAGCAGCCAACAACGAGAAACATATCCCACATGTCAAATGTGATGCGACTGACACCACGCCAACAACATGCCGACAACCTCGAAACGGAAGAACGCACTGTCCGCCTGTGCGCCTGCGTGCCTAATGGCACTTCCCGAGTGGATGGTCCAGCAAAAGCTTGAACTTTCAGTTGGCCACTAAAACGGTCCAAACCCAAAAAGTATGAAACTAGCTGGTCTTCCCTAAAATGGTCTTTCCTAAAAGTGGTCTTCCCCAAGATGGTCTTCCCATAAAGCCCAGCCAACTCGGGAAAGCCACGCCGTTGGCATAAGGGTGCCAACATTTTTCTGTAGTCCATTTTAGTAGGGGAACCAAATCTCCCAACCAAGAAAAGGGGTGAGAATCTGAGAAAGGGCACTCTTGACCTAGGCCAGCCTACCCCGTGATATGGCTGTGGTTGTCCACAATAGGTACCCAAAATCGCTTGGTTTGGGAAATGGAAACATGGACAAAAATCTCATATTGACCCACACCCATCTGATTTCCACCGACTTCCTTGGCAGGCGATGCGTGGTCCCCTGGTGGTCCTCTGGCGGTTGAATTTTGACCCATGCCCTGTCTCCGCGCCTGGTCGGACTCCTCCTTTTCCTCCAGGCCCGGGCGCCAGAAGAAGCCGTAGCAGTGACAGTCCAGACACCCCCCGCGGGCCGTGCCGAAGGGGTCCATGCACCCCTCCGCGTCCTAGCGCGGAGTGGGGTTTCATTGCGGTAAGCTTGTACAGCTGCATGTATGCCCTATAAGTGGTATATAGAACTATAGGTCCTCCAGTAGAGAGGCTAGAATAAGGTTACCTTTTTGTTTTTCTTTTTTGTCTATTTTAGTAGGGGAACCCTCTCCCAAAAAAGGGTAAAAGGGCACTATTGGGGGACCTAGATAACCTCCATACCCAAAGCCCATAAGGCAACATGTAAAGCAGAATCAACCGGAGTCTGCTTAAACGAAGGGGTGTTTGGCTTTAACATAGATAGTAAAATTATCTTGAGATTCTGGGCTGCATTCCAAATTGTCTTCAGCAAGTCAGGGCCCACCATCTTCAAGGTTGGCAAGTTCCGCTTATCCTCAAACCGCCATCAGATCTTGACCAGGGATCCTTACATTATACACCTGAACGTTGCAACTTGTAAATTGTGGTTTCCAACTGTAATTTGGTGCTGAAGAAGAGCCATGTTTCAACTGGTTGCAAAATGGAGATCTTTTAAGGAGCCCTGTTGACTCACGCTGGCGTGCCCGATCCCAAAGAGCCGGGATTGCCGGGATTGCCGGCCGTCCTCATCGTCCTCACCTTGGTCCGGGTTCAGCGTCTGCACCTCCAGCCAAGGCCCCCCAAAGCGCACCTCAGGCGCTTCAAAGACGACCAACGCTCCAACATCGCGGTGCCAAGGTTTTAAATGCTTAATTTCATGTTGTCTCGCTTTTGCACATTGTTTGACCACATGTTCAAAGAGGTTCCTACTTTGACAGGGAGCCATCTAGAGCCACATAGGGCGAGAAAAGTGACAACTAGTGACCATGTTCCCCTCCCGCGATTTGGAGTTGCTGGTGCGTGCGACAGGGCAGGAAGTCTTGGAATGCAAAGTTTGATCTTCGGCTATGACTTGGTTGACGTTGGATTTCACTCAACCACAAGAAGCAAAAATGCATTCTTCCCAACAACAACCATGATAATACCCGAACATCTGCCCACATGTGCCATGCAGTCGTGGCCCGAGTTTCCTGGACAGGGATCTTGATGGAGGTCGTCTTGCTCAGTTGCTGTTGGCCCCTCTGCAAAAAGCTTAACTTGTTGCGGGTGATGTCCCAAAATGTTGAAGTCTAAAGGTCCCCAACCCAATTGCAATCAAGCTCACTGTTCTAGGATTGATGACCATGTCTACGGTAAGTTGGCATGCGTGTTGAGAGAGAAATCAAAGGGGCTGAAGCCTTCAATGAGGCAGCGAGTCAACCCCGCCAGCCACGGCCATGTATCTGATCAGGGGTCTGACCAAGGGCTGCAAGGCGCGGATCTGGAGGCTGGGGCTGCCCCAATCGCACAAGAGGGGATACTCTCAAATGTCTTTGGTACGTAAAGAGGTGCTACACAACAGCCACTCAGAATCATTCCGCAGACTCCCGTCACTTCCAGTTCTCCTTGACAAGGCAGCCAGTAAGCCTCCAGAGACAGCATCTTGAGCATGTTGCAATCAAAGATTTGCAAGACAGTGACTGCTGAGGTCACGCGCAAAATCAAAGGACTGCATCAGGAGCCCAAAAGAGGAACAAGAAACAGGACACAAGTGCGGAAACACATTTCACACACTGATGCACACCGCTACCCCACCACCAACCAAACCCTACCTCCAACCCCCACTCTACACACCCCACCTACCCCACCTACCTACCCAACCGCCACCTGCCCCATCCCGCCCGACCTCCCCGCCTCCGGCGGGGAGTCCACCCCCACCGCCAGCGGCGCCCGCAGCCGCACCGCCACGTGCAGTTCCAAGCTGCGGCCCTGGGGCAGATCCGACACCACCTGCCGCCAGAGATGGTTGCAGGAGACCAACATACGATGGAAAAACGCAGGGCCCCTGTTTTGGTTCAGAATGAGGGCGAACATTTCCCTTTTTGGTTTTTACAGGCGGTTCCCTACTGTGGATGGTTGCGAAATCCATTTCACACCACTTTGAGAAGCCACGGGAAACTATTGTTCGTCGGTATTTAGAGGGTACAATCATTATTGCAGGGTTTCTTAGGTGGTGCAGGATTTCGTCCATCCACAGTAGGTCTGAGGGTTTTTGTATTACACCCTGGGATTACACCCATGGGAAATGACCCAGCATGGTTCAAAATAACGCGGTCTTATCCGGAAATGTGCCTAAATGGGGTCAATGCCACAAAACGCGGGGCGATCGCCGGGAGAGATGCCGGGAACGAGCTTTGGAATGACCCCATTTCACATTTCCTGAGCACCAGCAAGTTTACGTAGGCCAAAGAAGAAACACTTCTGGGGAGCCCCTTGGGAACGCCGCCAAGAATGCGTGGCGCCAGGTGACAAACCTAGGTGACACCTCGGGGGCAAACCCGCTTGGGGAACCCACCAAAAAATAACCAGTGAGGAACCCGTTGAGGAAACAAATGCCCAGAGTGCGCCGCCGAATGGCTGGCGATCGCAAAGAGAGATGCAGGGAGAGAGGCATTTGACTGGCCTGCCCGTGTTCAGATCCCCCGCTAAAAGTGACGAACTTTTAGTGGGTGAAATTCGGCAACTACCACTAAGCAATACAAGGCTCAAAAGCTGAGGGGATGGCTTGGAGCCACCAAGTGGAATGACCCGAAGAAAGACCGTCCAACTGGGCGGTTTCCCTTTTTTCCGGGGACCAAAGCCTGCGTAGGCCAAAGAAAAAACACCTCCGGGGCAACTTGGGGAACCCGTTGGGGAACCCGTTGGGGAACCCACCCAAAAAATAACCAGAGTATATACCACCAAGAGAAAAGTAGCTGGACATATTATAGCTTGCTTTTTGGTTTGGGTTGTAGTTTGGGATGGGATGATATTGTGTTCTGTGCTTTTGGATCGTGGAAAACACCCTTTCCTTCAATCTGGGTCCAAACAAGGTAACATTTGGAGATTTTCTGGGGTCTAAACTGATCACGGTCTCACTTGCCAAGTTTCGACATCCTTTTTCTCCCCCAGATCACCTGAATTGGGTCCAATGACGGCCACTGGCTCTTTGATTGATTGCGAAAGTATATGGAAGCTCCTGTTTGCATAACATTTAGGGCTACAACGGACAAGCGAAACCAGGGGTGTGCATCACAGGGTGCCCGTCTTGCCTCGCCTATCTTCCCCGACTTTATCTCTTGCATCCACATCCCCGAGCACACCGCGTTCAAACCAGCCGGGCAGAGCGAACGTGGGGATTTTGCCTACCAGTACCAATCAGAGTCCAATAGAGTCTTTGTTGACAACCGAACCTTGGTTGACGTTGGAAGGGGAGCAAACAATTAAATGTTAGCAGTTCAGTGGGGATTTCCCACTAAAACAACAATAAGCAAAAAAGTAAAAATGCTTCCCAACGACAACCATGAAACCCCCACCAAGCCGGAATGTCAGCAGCCTGTGTATGTGTACGACCTTGGGCTGTGCCCGAGGAGACCCCGTCTCCGCCGCCCGAACCATCCAGGAAACTCATAGGCTCTTTGGTGGAGTGATGTCAGTTTTTCCTCTTATAATGTAAGGAGGATTACCCGCCAACCGTCTAGAATTGGGGGAGAGTACGATCGATTCTGTGAGGATGTCAACGCACAACAAGGATACCCGGTCGGTTTATCATGGTTTGGTAGGTTTGCTTGCTCTACACACAGAGGATCAACTGTAACCTGAACCGAGACTAAACCACCAACTCTCTCTCGAGAGATCACTGCAACGTAGAGAAGTGTCGACCCTCCAGAGGGCTAAGATTCTCATCCCAAGAAACTCACTGAGATGTGTTCCTAGGTCCTCCAGTAGAGAGGTTAGAATCAGGGTACCCACTTTTTTTCTGTAGTCTATTTTAGTGCGGGAACCCTCCCAACAAAAGGGGTGACAGGGCTCCTTACATTATACACCTGAACATGCCTTGTATTTTGGTGGGAAAACATGTTTCAAAATGTATCTTTCAAGGAGCCCTGGGTGAGAAAGGGCACCTAGGCGGGGACCTAGGATTCTCCCTCCGCTGCCTCTTGCACCTTGTGACACACTGCATGGCCGGCGGCGCCGGTCTGGCGACAGCGCCATTCCACGATGTACACCACCTGGACGTCTTCAGCACAGCTTTTCTGACACACAACTGGGCCGCCCGTTTTCGAATCCCCGGCTAAAAGTGCCTAACTTTTAGTGGGTGAAATTCCGAAACTACCACTTAAAAGGCCAACAAGCTAAGGGGATGGCTGTGAGCCACCAAGAAAACATGGCGCGCCAAGCATCAGAAAGGAGAACTGACACAGCTTATTATTGAATTCTAATAACTGAAATGCGTGATTATCTTCGTTCTTGTGGGAAAACCAGTGCCCCTCCCACATGGACTAGTGAGATGTCAGCTCGCAATATTCAAGCGCACAGGCAATTAGCCACTCAGTCATTCAATATTTCCTACCCTCATCCACTGATTGCTCCTGCCTTCTATTTCCTAGGTTGCACTCACAGTCACGAATCTGACCCCCTCACAAGCTTGCTACTCCCAGTTCCATATGTTTCCTTTCCATCGCAAATCTCCACTGGCCTCCTGTGCGAGAATTGCTTTCAGGGAACAAACCATGCAATTGACCTGTTTGTTTGCATTGGGACCCCCATTTGTCCCAACCAGACATCCCTGCGCTGGTCAGTTGGAGACTGACAGAATCCAACTTCGCTCAAGGTCCGTTTCCGCCCGGTGCAGTTCGAGCAGTGCGCGCCAACTCGCGCCTTGACGTTGGGCTGCAAGGTCTTGCCAAAGCCGGGCCAGCACACGTCCAACGCCTCCAGATACCTGGCTCACTTGGTCGCTTGGGCATCCAAGAAGGGTACCTCTATCAGGCGACGTCTCCTCCCTCAAACAGATGGGAGCAAGCTGAGGACAGCTGACTTTCAGTCACCGGGTGGCTGCACAAATTGTTCCTGCTCGGGTGTCTCGAAACTGGGAACCAAACTCGGGGAGCCAAGGGAAAGCCAGTTGTCTCAAGTCGACTGGGGGACCATGCCATCAACCACCTACTCCAAACCTAACACTTTTCTCCGGAAAATGAGATCCTCGTCAAGCCATGGCATCCCATCCCCCGATCCCACGGCCTGGCGCGCACGGTGGGCTGCAGGCAGCAAAGCGCCAGGTTGCGGCCAATGTGGGCCCAGCCCCTGCCTGAGCATCAACATCAAGAATCCGAGCCAGGTCTTGGTTGCTGCTGACCCCGCTGCAAAAAGTGAGTCTAGTGAAAAGCCCCTTGACTTCAACCAAAAAGTTAAAGTCTAAATCAACCCAATAGCTTTAGTACAGGGGTCGGCATGACTTGGTCACGGTCAAAGTGACAACCCCGCACCTGCCTCAAGTCGGTTGTTCTGCCAGTTCAGCAAAACAAGACCTTACACATCAAAAAAACGGGTGACCCAGTTCGGAGACAGAAGGGCAGGTAGCAGCCAGTTCGCTGACACATCCCTTGAGGCACGTGTGGCGTTTGGCCCCCGGCAGGTGGGGTGCAATCCCCATACCAAACCTCACCCTGACTAGGTCCTCCAGTAGAGAGGTTAGAATAAAGGTACCCTTTTTTCTGTAGTCTATTTTAGTAGGGTCAAAAAGGGTAAAAGGGTGGGGGACCTAGATGTGCGATCTGGAGTGCCGCACGTCTGTGCAAAGGACACCCTTTGGGGCTACTTTTTGCGGGGGTAGGGTGTGAGCCGCTTGGGCCATTGAAGGGATACCGGCAAAGGGGCTAGCCCCCCAAGCCCATCTTGAAGCTCCAGCTGAGTTGCCATTCTGCAGCCGGAGCCAGCCGCCCCCAGGGTAGCCGCTAAGCCGCTCACCCGGCGACAAAGTTGCCACCTCCTTCCAAAGAAGCTTGTTGCAGGGTGAAACATTTTGGGCCTGCATTTCGTGTGCACGTCTGATAGGGAGGTTCTTGTGCTCAAGTGCTGGCAGGTGTGGCCGGCCACTCGAGAGGCAGCAAACATTTGGGCTTGTGATTGGAACCGTCCGCTACCGTCCGGTACTGCCGCAAGAACGGATCTCATCGGTAACAGCCAGGCTTGCATATCTCTGCTGTGGTCCCACAGGGTGTCCCAACGGTTCGGCCTTTCAGAATGTCGAACCGCTTCGCTACAATTCAATGCCGCCGCGCAATCTCCGCTCTCGTCAACCAGCGCTTTCCCATCTCTTCGCAATTTGTGTTGCTAAAAGGCTCATCCACATGGTGCTGACTTTCAACCCAGCTGTCCTACTGACAGGATGCCGCAAGCACTTCCAAGACTGGCGAAGAGAGGGTGCTAGGAGGGACCACTGACCATTCAGCAGTAATTAACCTTGAAGGTTTAAAATCCCAAAGCAATCGCATGCAACTTCCACAAGGCCTACCAAGGTGCCACAGGCCACCGCAACCGGAATTAATCCCTGGGCTTGCTTTTGACACCACAAGTCAGAACTTTGCAAGTGAGGGGGCCTCACTGGCAAAGGACGCCAGGCGGCATGCCTACGTAGTTTTGCAAGCACGCACGCGAACCAACAGAACCATCCTGCCATCTAAGGCATGGTCGTGCGGCGCATGACTACTTGCTTGAGGTTGGAAGGGGAAGAAAAAAATAAACTTTGGCAGTTAAGTGGGGGATTCCACCAAACCACAATAAGCAATATATAAAATGTGTCCCAACAGCAACCATGACTACTTCACTCTTGGCCCCCTTTGAAAGGCGACTTCCACCTCCCCCATCCCCATCCCCGCCCGCCCCCCTCAAGCGCGTCCTTGGAGGCGGCATCGGGCACGGCATGCAGCGGGTGGCGCTCCCGCACCTCGTACTCCAAAGGTTTGGTGAGCAGCTTGCTCAGCACATCCGCGGCCTTCCTCAGAGCTGCAGGCTCTGCTGGTGCTGGGGAAGGGTTCTGTAGAGGTTTGTAGGTGGTAGGTGGTAGCAACCTCTCAGTGAATCCAGTTCACCCTTACTCAACTCCAATACATCTTCGCAATGCGTAAACTCCGAGTCAACCCTAGTTAGCCCCCAATTCGCCCTTAGTCAAGCCCCATTGAAGCCATTCAAGTCTGCGCCGCCATGGGAACGCAGTAACCATTCGTTCGTTCAAAGGCCAAGCCGTGATTGTCTCCCCCCAACACCTGGAATAACCGGTTTGCTTCATATTCTACACCACTCAAAATTGTCTCGCCGCAGTCCGCAAAAAGGTTAAGAAGGTTGCGTTGTTGCACATTCGAGTTAGCCACCAGCGGATTTCACCCAAAACGTGTGCTCAGAACTTCCTGGAATGGGACAGAAAGCCAAACAACGCATACAGTTCCTACCCCGAATCCCTTGCTTTACCCCTCAAACAATTCATGGGTTATTGCAGCCTTACATGCTCTAAGACTCCAGACATCTCTTCGCCAGACCCCCACGTTTCGCCCAGGGCAACCTCTAGAAAACGGCTCGGATGCGTTTTTTTTGTGGATTTCAAGTCTCAGATGACGCCTCACAAAGTCCTCCACTTCCCATGGCTGTTTTTGCGATCTTCCATTTGCTGAAGTCCACTGGACAAATATGTCCAGTGATGGATGGACAAAATCCGTTTCGCGCCACCTAAGCAATCCTGGTTTCTGATGATTCGTCTGAAAATACAAATGAATGCTGGTTTCCCACGGTGTCAACGTGGTGCAGGATGTCGTCCATCCACACTAGTGATGGATTCCCTTTTAACCGTCACAGGGACAATCACACCTACTCTTGAGAAAATGGAAGTGACAAAATTACGCACGGCTGGTCACTGACTTCCAAGATAGCGGAGTGGCGATGGGCAAGCAACCCCGACCAAGAAAGAAAGGTTTCGAAAGGTTCTCTCAAAAGGGCTGGGATCTGCCACCCACTAATAACATCTTCAGTCATATGGGGTTTTGGGATTCCAAGTCAACTTGGCAACTTGCATCTGAAGGATGTTGAGCCCGGCCCCCAGCGTGGGCGACATGATCCCTCTCTGCGGCAAACCCCAAAACCCTGCCACTTTCCCAAGAGAAAGATGGCAGCAACATGGCCATGGGTCAAAATCCCGTACCCCCAGTGAACATCCCAATCCCCACTAAAACGCTAAAATAGGTTCTAAAATCGGTGGTGCACCAATCCCCCAAAATGAGATCCCGCAACGGTTTTGACAACCACAGCCGCACAAAACGAATCCAAGTCTCTGCGCTGCCGCCCGCACGGCCTCAGGGTCCATGGGCTGCTTTTCCTGTGCCTCCTCCTTCACCTCAGGTTTTGACTCCTCAGTTGGCTCCGCCGGCTTCACCTCTGGCTGGGCCTCTTCCGGCTTCACCTCCTCCTTAGCCTCTGGCTGCTGGCCCTCATCCGTCTTCGCATCCGGCTTCTCATCCTGTGTTGCCTCTTCCGGCCTCGACTCCTCCTTCTTTGCTTCTTCTGGCTTCGACTCCTCCTCTTCCTTTGCCTGCACCTGTGTGGTGGCCTCTGCTAGCCTCCCATCTTCCTGGCTGACCTCTTCTTCCTTCGCAGGCACCGCTTCACGCGTCGCCTCTTCCACCTGCGCTGGCGCCTCCGTCCCCGCCGGATTGGCTTCCGCTGAGTCTTTTGCTGGCGCAAAAGTTGGCTCGGCTTGCGCTTCTGGGACCCCTGGGTCCTTGGTCGGGGCCATGATCAAACTTCACTTGCAGTTCTGAAAGGAGGGAATACACGCCACAACCGGCACAAGACATCGCCCAGCATGAAACCTGACCTATCTCCAACCCTTGAAGACCGACAGGCCGATGCCCTGAGCCATATTGGGCAGAAAGAACCAGACAGGAATGGAGGAATGGGTGCTAGCCGTGTGCCTAGCTGGAGCATAGCCTTCATCGCAAAGGCGCGTGCTCCTTGACTCTCAGGAACTCGTCCATCTCCTGTCGATCACATTCGAGCAAGCAACCTCTGCCAGTACCAATCCAGAAATCCTCAAGGCCTCGTGAAAGACCCTAAACTCGCCAAGTTGCTTCCCCAGGCCTAGAGTAGCACCCTCTGCACTCCAGGATGCTCCGGGCCTCCATTTCCAAGGTCAGGTTTCGGACCAGGAACTTGCAGCTCTTGCTAAGAGGATTTCTAGGGGCTCAGCCCTCAACTTCTAGGTGAGAAATGTGGCTACGTGCCGATTGCATCACCTCCTCCTTCCACTGCCATCCCGCATCCTCACAACCTAATAGAGCCATCGATCGGATTCAAAGACAATGAGAACCAGCACGCCCTGAATGCGAGCAAGTGAAAGCTCTGCACATCTGCGGCCCGTACGCCTTGCCAGGATTTAACACTTTCCTGGCGCTGGTTTCCACATGCGCATATCTTCCGACCATCTTCGCATGTTGGCAACGCAGCATTAAGGTCAAGCTCCACACCCGCCCTCCTCCTCCCAAGCAAAAGTCAGCAGAACCAACGAACAACCAACTGCGTGTCTTTGTCTTTGTGGGTGTGTGTGTGTGTGTGTGTTTGTGCATTTGTGTGTTTGTGTGTTGTGTGTGTATTGGACAAATTCGAACAAGCGGGGAAACGGAGGGAGCGGGGATATGGGGGGATTCCAACTTGGCTTTCCCATTTCCCTTATCAAACTTAGTCAAGGTGCATCAAACGGGGGAATCCTCCCTTGGTTGCTTTCCTTTCTGCTCCCCTGCTAAAAAGTTTAACTTTTAGTAATGGAAAAACCAATTCGTTGGCAAAAAGTAAAAGTCCTAACATCCAAGCAAAATGCACCAAAGCTCCCGTATCCCATGCCGTTGCCCCTGTATCCCTGCTGGTTGGTTTCCCTGAGGCTCCCGTCCTGCTCCTGCATCTCCCGCAGCCGGGTGCGCCAGATCTCCCCGAAGCTCCGCAGCGCGGCATCCTCCGCCTCGAACCACGCCGCCGTGAGCGCCATGGCAGCGAGAAGCCAAAGGAGAACTCACCACGAGTCTAGGTACCACTGCTAGGTCCTCCAGATTTGAGAGGTTAGAATAAGTTGGTACCAACTTTTTTCGGTTTTGTCTATTTTAGTAGGGGAACCCTCACCCAAATAAGGGTAAACGGGCAGCACTGGAGGACCTAGGCTGTGTGCCCGCTGTGTGCTGCTTGTGCTTTCTCTTTTTTACTCTTGACTACTCATGATTGATGGTTCAAGTTGTTCATGAAAGGCTGGCTATCACGTATATGCTGCTTGTGCATTTCTTCTTTGTTACTCTTGACGGTTCATGATTGGTGGCCGCTAGCGTTTGCCTTCGGTTCAAGTTGTTCATGGAAGACTTGCTTGACGTGCGGTTTCAGTGTCCGCCTTGTGCTCGCTAGCTCGTTCGCTCACTCGCTGTTCGCGGTACGCTACAGGACCCCCCAGCTGGAAAACTCGTGGCATCATGGGCCCTAACGTTTGCTTGCCTCCAATTGGTGGTTTGGATTTGTGGTTTGGTGGTGAAGGAGGGGTTTCCAATTTACCCTCTGCAAAAGCCAGGGGCTTTCAGTACCATTGTACCCCGATTGCCGGTCTCATGTGCACCAGCACAGGCTGGGGAGCCAATAACTTGCGTCGAATCCAGCGAGCTGGCAAAAGAAAGAGGCACCACGAAGCGCTAGTTCCTTTGCACAAGGAGGCCTGCTATGTCCCGTGTTTGTCCTGCACTCAAATCCCGTGCCCGGAGCGCACTTCAGCCGCGCTAAAACGACAAGTGCTTGCGGACACTACTAACGTGCCCCCCAGCCTATCGAGCTCGACAAGCTTCTGGAAAACTTTGCTTATGATCTCGCCAAACCTGTGTGATATGTGTTAAACAAGGCGTGGTATGAGATTGGCTTTTCCTGGCAGAGCTAAATCCCTGAAACTATAAGAGGACGTGGCATTGGCAGGAATCATGGCAGCAATTCCTCTAAATTGAATTGTCTGCTTGTGATGCTGGAGTAGTTGGTACCCAAATCGGATTGGCGGGTGATGTACTTGCTGAAAGTGGGCCAAAAAGGTGGGCAGGCTTTCATCGGAGTCAAATCATCAGGGGGAAGGCTTCGCAACCAATAAGTTTGACCAAGTCTTCCACTTAGGCCATGCCATTGGCCACATTGAAAAGAAGGCCATGCTTACCAAGCCCCTCAGGCTCCATGTGGAGGTGGGCAAGCCTCTGACTGTGAAGGCAGGGCCGCCCCAAACCTACACAGAAACAATAGATTGTAATTGAAACAAACCCTATCCCTCAAAACCCTCATGAGTCGGAAAATGGATAGGCACATGTCCGCAGTGAGCCGACCAGCACCTTCAACTGGCAAAAGCTATCAGCTTCCTCCCAGGGCTAAGTATCTCATGTCTGACCGCTCGACGGCTTTTAATCTGGAGTGCCAGGGAGCGCTTTGATTTGGATTCGTCAACACGAAGGAGACGCCTGCGCTTTGCAGGGGTCACTTCTCATTACCAGCGAAGGTGGTCTATTCAAGTTCCAAATGGAAAGGAGTGTCAGTTCAGATATGTACAAGATAAATATTGTTTTCAAAAACATGGAAAAGGTCTAACATACACCAAGAACAACCAGACGGACGAAACTGGTTTAATTGAAGCTCCAGCAACCCCCGCCTGGCGCCTTTTGGCACAGGCGCGCCAGTACCGGCGCGCACCTGGCAGCATGCGGATAGCGCTCACGGAAGCAACCCGCTCGCAAGTGCCCGATGTTCCATGAGCTTGCTTGGTTTGATTTGTGCGATGTGTTGGACTCTTCGGGTGTTGGGCTGGTTGGTTGGGGTTTTGTTGGGCTGGTTGGGTTTTGTTGAGCTGGTTGGTTCGGGTTTTGCTGAGCTGGTTGGTTCGGGTTGTGTTGATTTGGTGGTTGGGTGAAAGAATGCCAAGCACTTCTCGCAGCGCTCCAGATCTCGCACCTTGCAGGACGGACCCTTCCCGCCGAGCTCCCAGCTCCGACCATCTTCGGAGGAGGGCTTCGGAGGAGGGCTTCGGAGGAGGGCATGATAGCTGTTCTTTTCCTCAACTTCACGGGCACAAAGTTGCATACAAGCAGGAGACGGTCCTGGCGTCTTGGTTTCACCCACATGTGACGTCAAAAAGCCATAATCCGGCAGGATGCCTCTTGGCGGCGGCAAAAAATGGGCTGGCGTGCACGGCGCTCCACTTGTTTCACATCTCCAGCGTCGTTTCTCCATCCCCTCGGCGTTCCTGTCCTTGCCTCGGGACATTGGGCTTGATGTGGCCTTAGGCGGGTGGTGTTTTCATCCGAGCTGCGGAAAACGCAGAGCCTTGGTCGTCCGGCCTTGGGATTCCCATCTGAACCCTAGACCCTAAGCCTGGACCATTTTGGAGGTTGAGCTAAGAATGTCAATCATAAAGAAAATAAGTACGCCAATCAAGGGTTTCCACATGTTTCCACTTTTTGACTACTGCAACAAAGGACTAGTTGTGCAGGGATTCCCTTTTTGGATAGTTGTTGAAACCCCAAACCGTCAGCTCACCTGAAAGGCTTCCAACGTTCACAAGCAACCGGGGCTTTCTCAAAATGGTGGACCCTATTTGGATTCTTTGCCAGGGAAACCCGAAGCAATTAACCCATTTTGTTGCTGGGACAACCGCCTGGGGCCTGCACATGGGTGTGACATCTCCTGTGTTTTGCCTCAAGATCATTCGGAAAAACAGGTCATAATGTCCTCCAACATGATTCTTCATTCTCATCCGTCGTTTGGTGGAGCAACCGGAAAACAAAAAGGGAGTGAAAATGGTGCCAATGATCAACTGGGTTGAACACCCTGCAATGTGCTCGCCTCCGTGATTCACGTCCAATGCGCCGCGCAAGCAGGGCTTTTGGTGTTTCACGGGGGTCTGAGCCTGTTCTTCCCGTGGAAAGTACAAGGCACCTCCCATGTGATCATGTTGTTTGCGCAGCTGAGCACCGGACAATATAATATTACCTAGTTCCCCAAAGGCCATGAGGAAGTTGGTCGACCGGTTTTTGTGGTTGGATTGGGTGGTCCCCAATTCCGCGAGCCGCAACATTGCAGGCAGGTAAGAGCTTTGTCACATTTGGCACCCTTGAGGTGGACAAACTAGGTCCTCCAGTAGAGAGGTTGGAATCAGGATACCCTTTTTTCTGTAGTCTATTTTAGTACCCAAAACAGGACGCTACTGGAAAATCTAGAAGGAGCTGATCAATATTCCCTCCCAATGACCATAAGGAAAATATGTTTCAGAGGAACCAACATGATAAATAGTATCCAACCCATATTGCGCCACGCAGCGCAAACATAAAACTGGTTGAGCACGCTGCATCTTGGGTGGCAAGCAAACTCTCTGCAGCTTCTTTCTTCATACCCTCATACCTCTTTCGTCAATCGCGTCCGGTCGCTCATATGATTCCAAGCCGACTCAAACTCACGGGCGGGCAAAATCATCGGCCGTCAAGCCAGCACCCACCACTCAAACCCCCGCAAGAACTCTGGCGTCGAAGTGCTTTTGATCTTGACATCAACATCGATCATGGTCAGGGCCGCTGTCATATTTTGATAGTGAATCTCCAGCATCGCTGAGCCGCTATCAAAATGGACACTGCAGTTGTCCGTTTGCAAACCGATGATCATCTCACAGTTGCCACTCGACGAGACCATCCCGAGGATGACTGCCTCCTTGACACGCAGCGGTTGCGAGATGGTCAAGCCTGACTTGGTGAGGCAGACAATGACCGCTGGAGCGCCTTCGCAGCAAAGGGCTGCATCCAACTCTGCATCTGTGCCACAAAGGACTATCGAAGAGCCCTTCAAATACTTGGAAAGACTCCCCAAGGGGCCAGAACCAACTGATGCCTGGGCAAGCTGCCGCACGCCCGCAAAGAAGGCCTCTCGCGACTCTTCAGTCTGGCAACTGGCATTGATGATGGGCGGTCTCCAAATTGCTGGCTCCTGGCGAGGCTGCCAAGCATTCCCTGGCTGGCCAGCAAATTTAATGTCTGTTGTGGTAGCAGCGCCAATGCCAATGATGCCAGCAGCACCGTGCTTCACCACAACCTGTGCCATCGTCTTCTTCGTGGAATCAGAGAAGCTAGTCAGATTGCAACCATGCATGGCAACGAAGGTGCTGCTGTCAATTGCCTCAACCACTGCACCAGCCAGGTCTTGCACGTGGTGGATTTGCGACATTGAAGCACAGCTGGCACCGGCCAAACATACCAGCGGCTGCTCCGAATGTGACTGCGATGAGTCCCTCTTGATGCAAAGGTTGCAGAGGCGGAGCCTGGATGCATCCTTGACCTGCAGCAGGGTTGAGACGTCAGAAGCCTGCAGCTCAACCTTTTTGTGCTGGTCAACTATGCCATAGAGGTCAATCTGGCAGTTGCTCAGGGACAAGGTCAAAGGGTAGCTGCCATTGAGCAGCACAAAGGTGGCTTTCTTCTTCTCCAAGGTGGGCGAGGTCAGTGCGGTTGCCGCCGCATCTGCCTTGAGCCAGCTGCACAAAGCTGTCTTGCTGGTGCAGAAGATGACCCGCTTCCATCCTCCGTCGTCACCTAAGTTGGCAAAAGCCTCCTTCACAGCAGCAGGCACGCTACCTGGTGCATCTTGTCCGTGGCCCATGCCCTGGTGACGGCCGCCCATCTTATTGGCACGCTTGAGGGCACAGGCAACACTTGCATGATAGTGCGCCTCAATGTAGCGCGTGTCCAACCAGTTTGCCCGATTCTGACAGAACTCGCAGCCCAGGCTGCTGATAAGCGCCTTTGCAAAGTCCAAGTGAGCATCTGGATTCAAGCCATCATTTGGTACTGCTTGGCGCATTTGCTGCAAGACCTCCTGCGGCACAGCCTTGCCGGCGGAGGAGCCGCCGGACTCCATCTTGCAGCGTGCTAGAGCTGCCTGGATGCGTGCGCAGTACCGGTCACATCGTTTTCCATAGCCGTAGCCATCCGCAGACCAAATGCAAGGCTCCACCAGATCCCAGGCTGACTCGAGCGCTTTCTTCGCTTCCTTGAACTTCTTCTCCTGGAGTAGCTGTTCACCTGTGGTTCAAAGGCAACCCAGCCAAACTGCGTTTCCTGGTGGTTATTGAGGAAATAAGAAAGGCCCCCTTCCTATTTTGAGAAACCCCAACCTGCTTCACAAAGATCGAGGCCCGTCATCAAAGAGTGGTAGATGCCATCTCCTCCCCCGAACATGGCCAGGCACCCGGATCGCGAATACAAACCTTGAGGGCTGACAGAGCCACGAAAGCCATGTCGACTGTCTGCTACACGGTATTCATTGGCAAGCGTCACAAACATTAGCCCCATGCTTATGAAGAAGTGGGCCATGGTCGCGCAGAAAAGGTCAGACACACACACACACAGTAAGAACTGCATGGTCAACCTGGCTGGTGCATTGAATAACAGTGGGGCGGTCCCCACTGAATGCGAGCTTACCCTCCCGTTCAAGGGCTACCCCTAAAAAAGTCTTCCATCAGGGGTCGCCTAATTTCGGGGGCGCTTGCATTCGCAGCCAGACCACCCCCAAAACGTTGAGTCTCAACGCATGCCGGATCCAGGTCTTCTCCACTACCCCGCGCAACCAGCGAAGCTATCATGAGCCCCTTCCACACCATGTGCACGAGCGAACTTGATGCGGAGCAAACTTCATGTGCGGAAGTTCCAAGGACGTTTCGGCTCGGTTAGCGCTAGAACTCACCCGTGGCCTTTGCAACGATAGTCATTCACAGTCTATGCATTGCAAACCCTCGCATCAACAGCTCGAAGCTAACGCCAGTTGCGCCCGAAGTCCCAGGTAGGTTCTTCGAAACACATGGAGCATTCAGTGTGGATGAACCCATGGGATCCGCAGATGCATGCCTCAAAGGAACATACAACCAGCGTCGGAAGACAAGGAGTTGCAATGGATTGGCTTGTCATCAACTGGACAACAGCGTCCTTCTACAATGAGAATGACAAGAAACAGCAAAAATGGCCAGTGGGTCAGGCGGGCAGCGTGAAACATAAGGCAGCTCACCATTCATTCCCGTGAGCTACTTACATGGCATGCCGTCTTCCAGGCAATGCATACCACTGCCATTTCACAGCAGCACGACCTGTTGCTGAAATCACCCCTTCCATACGCACAGGTGGCCCTAAACGTGTCGAAACTCGGGTCACCCTTATGAACTCCGCGTGCCTCTGCATGTGCAGCGCGTGTAGGCGTTTTGCAGGAGGCCCGGAGGCCTGGTGCCGGCAGCATGGTTTGCTTTGGAATACTTGTGTTCTTGGGAAAGGCCAAAACCGCTTGCCCAGCTGGGTTTATGCAGGCTTAGCAGGGGATTGGGGATAGCTTTTGCATGTCGGCTTTGGATTCCTGCACAGCAATGGCTGTTCTTGGCACTGACAGGCCCTCGCCTCCGCGGAACCCTGCTTACGCGTCACCAAGAAGCCCCTCTGCCCACCCAACCACCCAGGACAAGGACAAACCCTGCGCAGGGTTCGCGTCCTGCCGAGCAACAACCCGCGACCAAGCCATGCATGCCGATCACTGGTGCACGTACCGAATAATCACACCATCTGACGTCAGCTTGCAAAGGTCCCGCAACCCCCACAAAAGCTCCCGACCTTAGAGCTTGACTTCGGCCAGCTGCCCCGTGGGAGTTTGTAGGGCAGCGCTTGCGTTCCTTGGTGCAGAGCCACGGCTCCGGCAACCGAGGGAGTGTGCGCAAGTACAGTGAGAAACTCCATTTGGTTAAGGGGAAAAACATATTTCCAGTAGCGAATGAATTCCTTCTAAAACATTAAAACATATTCTTAAGCAAATGAAGGAGAAGCACTACCCTCTTACCAATTCACATGGAACCTGAGGTTCGGGGCCCCTTTAAAAGGGAAATGGTCTTCCATGAAGGTGCCCCTGGGTGGACCCACATGGGGAAGAAAGGATACCCGGACTCTGCGGTGAATGCCGGTAAGCGATAAGAGGAGAAGGCAAATTGCATTGTCCAGGGGAGGCTGAAGGTGATCAAATCACACAAAAAACTGGGCACCACTACGCACGTGCAAAAGGACTTTCTTGGTGCCCAAGTTGTTTCATGAGCAGGACTTGCAGTGCAACAAATCCACTTGCACCATGGCACCATGCCTCTGCCAACTGTTTCATGAAGAGCTTGCCTTTTGACCCGGCCCCTCTGTTGCTGCCATTGAAGCTACACCGTTGGAGACGGGCGACAGCATTGCAATCGGCTGGCGCGGGCAGTCGGCAGAAGGCCGTGCTACCGCCCAGTTCGGTCACGCTCGCTCCGCTGCTTTTGCACGCTAGATATTTGCCTATGTCTCGCGGAGACCAGTTGACTCGCTTTTCACATCGGCCAAGGGGCTTAATCCTTGAATTGTTTGCGGAAGTACTCATTCATGCACATTGGCTTCCAAAGGCCCAAAAGTGACACTTGGAATCTTCCCAGCAACGCACCAGCCAACAGAGTCCCAAACAAGATGTTTGTCCCAAAAAACATATGCAGAGATTTTACAATCAGCTGGCAAAAGTCAGGCAAAACCGTAAGGCATGTCGGGCTTTTCGGGGCCCGGCCAATCACATGTAAAACTGGTCTCCCCTCGGGCGCGCAGGCGCCAACTGTGCAGTTTATCGCGTGCGCATGCGCGCAGGCAAGCGCACGTGAACGCTCGGTCCGCGTGTGGCCTGAGTGGCCTGGCACGCCTGTTCACGCGGTGGGGTTGCCATGGAACTGGAAGACTGGGGACAAGTTAGCACACCGCAAACCCATAGTCTGGCTCAATGATTTTGCGACTTCAGGACTTCAGGACCGGAAGCAAACCAAGCACCTATATATGTATGTATAAACATATGTTTACATATGCACGTTATACATGTGTTAAATATATATATATATAATTAGATATATATTTAGAGGTATATGTTTTGTGCAGCATCTCTGAGCTAGTAGGAAAAGGCAATTGCATCGTTATTAGGCTGGGCTTTGCAAGCAAGGCTCAAAACTGGTGCATCTGGAGCTCTAGCGCTTGAAACACAAGTTGAGTGCTGCGCTCCATCTTCACACACGACAACATCGTACCTCTTGCCGCGGATGCAACTTTCAGGTGGGATTGTCTGCGGCACTGGGACACCCTAGAGAGGTGACTAGTAAGGGTTCTTTTCGGGACCATTTTGGCAACGAAGCAGCACAAAAAATCAACCGAAGGGAACCCCCGACCCTTGGCACGCGCCAAGCCAGGCCCATGTGACAAGCTGAGCCGGCGAGTCTTTCTCTCACTCCTCCACCTGCCGTGCCGCGCAGCTGAGCTTGATTTCTCTGTCGGGTTCTCATTTGGATCTGACTCGGGCATTCCAACGAAATGGCTGGGGCCCGCTGGGCACCTGGCAAGTTGCGGGTGCCGAGGGATGGCAACTCAGTGGCCACATGATGGCCCAGGCACCGTGACGAGCAAATTGGGGGGGGGTCCAACAAATAGAAGTTCTCCCATCGCCGGCCTTGGCCGTCCAGGTGGCGTGTTCCTTTTGAAGGACAAAGCACGCTCACATTCATACATTGCTGTTGCAGCAACCGTTTCCGAAAATTTCTTGCACTGACAGCTCTTTCGCCGGCCTTCTGCAATGCTGGGGGTTCCTTTCGCCTCATGTAAGTTTGGTCATGCACCTTAGAAAGGCCCCTACAAAAAGCCGCGAAGCCAACATGGCATGCTCTCACTGAAGCCGTGCACTTTTTTGTGCACGCCAGCACCTGTGCACATGCCACACATCTGTGGGCTCTATGTGAAACTGCCGGATTCTCCAGGAAATGGACACGCTCTCGGGTTGTAAGTCAATGCTATTCACATCTGAGAGTGCGGAAGTGAAGAGAGTTCATGACATGAAACCTTTGAGGGAGAAACAGTTCCTGCAGTTCTACATTCATGAAGCCGAGGTGGCATCGTGAAACAGCAAACAAAAAACGTGACCTGGACAAGTCTAGCAAACTGTCCCAAAAGTTGCGAGTTGCCGGCCAGCACAAATCCTAAGGAACGAACATCACGGCGCCTGAAGTCTGGATTTGTGTTGGACTGCCCAAGCCACAAACAAACGAATTTCAGAGGATGAGTTTGCATGTTTCTTCAAACGCAAACCCGGGACTGGTGAGGTAGTCGAATCCGGGAGAGGAAGGGTTGTATTGCTGAAGCGTGAACAACAAAACAGGTTTCACCGACGGAAAACTGCTCTCACCGCGCCTTCACGTTCGCCATCAACATTCAACATTCAAGGATATGAGCCGATCTTTTGCATCAACGTCAAGCATCAGTGATAACTTATCTCCTTTCTCCCTCCTCTCTCTCCCTGCCCTGGGCTCTCCCAAAGCAAAGAGCACAATGGTGCCCACAAATTCACCCCTGTTCCAATCTCAGGAGGGACTACCGGAATGATTCCAGGGCTCCCCTTAAAGCAAACCGCCAGTTGGACCGGCCCCCCGGCCCCCCCCCCTGGCCTGCGGCAGCACCACCAGACCCCAGCGCCGCTCCGAGGCCGTCGCTTCGCCCGGCGAAAGCTGCGCGGCTTCCGCCCGCAAGTCCCGGATCTCCGGGGCGCGCTGCTCCGCGTGCCGGCCTCCATGGGAGCAGGAAACCTCATGGCACCTCGACCCACAAAAAAACATATATATATATATATGGGATATATGTGTGTATATATATAATTACCTGGAATCTTTACGACCCTTAACACATGATTGGTCGTTACCCAAAGTAATGGGGTCATTGAGCCAGTTTTGAAGGGTCATGGAGACTCCTGGTGTATATGTGTTCATTGTCTTATAAAATGTAGATGCACTTCAAATAGGCAACATCTAATTGTACCTGTGTGCTCTTATGCATGCGTGTCACTTGTCTGCACATGCAAATGTTTGTGGACATCTTGATGTACAAACATGGTTCACCTGGCGACCGGCCCAAATTGCAAGTGGGAGCTGCCTCGGAAACCTCGAGGGAACCCCCAAACCACCAGCGGGACTCCACCGAAACCGAGGCGGGACACCGGCGCAAAACACCAATGCAACACACCATCGCGGCACCAAAACACGACTGCCCTTTTCAAGAGCTCTGATGTAAGATTGGGAACTTAGGGGAACACAGTAGGACCCTAAAGCCTTGCACCACCAATGCCAAAAACACACACACCCTCCTTCCGCCGCCGCCCAAAAGCACGA